GTGTGTTCTCCATGTTTCAGTTAAACTAGCAAACTATGCCTGCTGAATGCCTCCCTTTATTCATAGAATTGAAAAAGAGGTCTTACCTTTGTGTAGTGCATACAGCTACTTGAGTAACAATATTAGTGATGAAGGTAATAGGAGATGCTACTAAAAAGATGGGCAAATCTAAATGTTGTCTGTTGAGGTAGTGTAGAAAGGATTGCGGATGGCATGCCTTGCTGTTGACCAAGGCAAATTAAGTTAATAAAAATAAAAGTACCATGCTACCTTATTTACTTATTTATTAGACTTGTATGCCACCCCATTAGCCATAAGGCTCTCTCGGCAGCTCACAGCATAGTGAACATTTATCCTCCCATATATCCTTTCTAATTCAGTGGTGTGATAGTTTGCTAAAAACAAGACATTTAATAAAGATACTTGAGTTGGTCAAATGATAATGTGATGGTTGAACATTTTTTTGTCTGCTTGCTATTCTTGGGGCCTGCAACCCTATTATGATTATGATTATGATTATGATTATGATTATTATTATTATTATAACATTTCTATGCCACCCCTTGCCGAAGCCTCGGGGCGGCTTACAACACAATAAAATACATTGAAATACAATAGAACATAATAAATTACCGCTAAATAGGAGGTGCTATTCCCAGGTCATATAAGCAGTGTGCCAGTGCTGACTCTGCTCATATGGTTTGTCCTTAGGTCCTTTTGATTTCTGTGAAGAGGACCATCTGCAGAGTGTGAAGGTGACATCAATGCGTATAGTTAGGTGTGATCCACAGCTAGGTTGTGTTTATGGCTAACGACTCACAGATTCACAAACTTTCCAGTTCAAGTTTACTGGATGTACTAGTGTATCTTTTTAGTCCTGGGATAAATAGATGGGGCTCCTTCCTGGCATGTGCTGTGCTTGAAGGCACTAGAGTGGTATGAGAGCAATATCCTGCCTTTCTGCAGGTTTGAAAGAATGATTCAAATTCTTCCTGAGTTTGAGCTGGCCTTGCGAAGCACTTGAAAAATGGGGCTTACCTTGGAAGCCACCGCCTGCTTCAGAGGCATCTTGAAGCAAAAGGATTTCACTGTTTTCAGTCTCAACCACCTTTTATTTCCCTGAGCCTAGAGAAGAGTGTGACCTGGGTATTCATCAAGCTCACATGGGGTCTAGAGATACTCTGAGAGCACCAAATTGCTTGTCATTGCTCATAAGTGCTTCTGTGGCTGAAATCTCCTAGCTGAGTTGGGGGTGAGTCAGAGCTGTGAAGACCACAGATCAGTACATCCCTAGCTGGGGGAAAAATGTGTCTCCATAAAGAAAGGTTGTAGCCAAAAGAATGGAAAGGTGTTCCTTTGCCATGTAGCAATTCACCCTGCACCTCTTTAAGCAGTTCCGTGAAACATCTATCAACACAACAGTTCGAACTTCTATCAACGTGCAAGACATGAAAATATATAAAGTACAAAGTAGAGGTTATGATGATTGGAAGCATGACGAGATTGTGGAATCTTTTTGCACGTACATAGGCAGATTCCCAAAAATTCAGGCCCACTTTTGAAAAAGAGTTGCTTATCTCTGACATCACTGCAAGTAAGAAACATAGCCCAGCCTGGCCATCCTCCCATAGATTCTGTTTAACTTTGCTTAAAGATTACAACATTCCACTTGTGCTTCTTCTTGAACATGCAGGAGTAGCAGTTTTACTGTTATGGTACTTGATAGTGATAAAATAAGTGGCACTCTTATCAGAGTGAGGCCTGTAAAGTGACATTTATGTATGAGAGATTAGGAGGCCAGACTTAGATATCAACATAGACTTTGATTTATTTATCGGAAATGGGGGATTGTAGCTTTGAGCAGCATGAGAGTGACAAGAACTTGGTTTGGATTGAAGGTTTCCAGAATCTGAACTGAAAGATAATGAGACCTTTTCCTTCTTCCTGAATCAAGGCAGAGTTAATGCCATTCTTAAAATAACTGTTGCAAGGAGGGCAATCGTCTTTTTGTTTTGAGCTTAGAAGCTGAACTTCAGATTGGTGCGATACACTTAATTCAGCTCTTTTCTGTGCAGACATTTTTACAAAAATGGAACAATCTTCAGTACTTTTGGGATCCAGTGTAAGATAAGACATACATGTATCTCAGGTGATTTAATAATTTTCTATGCTGCTGAACAGCCAAAAGTTTCTGGATTTACAAAAATTAAAACGTACACTATAACTAAATAAAAAATACCAAGACCCATTAAAACCTCATATGTTTGTCAAGTGGCTGGAAGTAGAGGTAAGTCTGTCACTGAAGTGTGACGATGTTGACATCCAGCAGACTTTATTAGGGAGGGCGTTCCATGATTTAGGGTGTGGGACACCACTGAGAATGCCCTCTCCCTCGTTGCCGTTTTTTAATCACTTTGGAGAAGGTGTTAAGATGACAGCATCAGATGATGATTATAATATGGGTAGAGTCATACTGGGAGATGTGATCCTAAGCCATGTAAGACTTTGTCAGTCAAAATCAGCAACCTTGAGCACTGCTCTAGCCCCTCTGACTTGTATAAACATAGTCCTCCTCACCCCCAACCAGCACACATAGTTTTTTATGTAAATACTCTCTTTCCTGTAGATATGCAAGTATAGGGGGTCAAGCCATGTTGGGCAAAATGTGTGCATTCTGGTATGAATGCCATATGCATTCTGAATCTATAGTATTCAATAATTTATAAAGGCTACGTGTAATCCAGACTGTAGTGTAAGCATTTTCCTTGCTGATTTCACAACATAGGGGACTGGCAGGCTAGCCTTGTTGATGGTTTGGGAAGGTTAGCTGCTTCCAGAGCCTTGGACTGCAAGGCCATGTATGGTTAAGTCCATATAAGTATCCACCTGATTGGTTAGACAGCAGAGATAAGTGCTGTGACAGGTGTTGGCAAAAGCTACACCTGTTTTCCCTGTGTATGCTGATTTAGTGGAAGTCCTAGGCACTCTGTGTGGAACACACAAGGCCATGCCAAGTAACCTGAGAAGGAATTATATCTTAATGGTGCCTTGTGATCTTCACACAATTTGATTGTGTTATGTGAAATGCTGAGGCTACTTTGGTGCTGCTAGGAAAAAAATTAAGCCAATTTCTGCTTAAATATACCATGACATCTAAAGCTTACTGTTGTCATGGAAAAGCAGCTGTCTCACAACTTCATCTGATTTGTTCTTCTGCCTTCTCAGAAGTAAATAAATGCAGGTGAATATATCGCTGAATACCTCTGCTTGTGTTCTAATTCTCACTATTGTATCAGCTAGTGTCACGTTCTTTAAAAAACTTCCAAGATCTTTAAGCAATAAGTTTCTAGTTTGTAACAGTTATTGCTAAGAATTTACAAGCCATAATGGAATGAAATCTTTGTATGCTAGCTTGAAAACCTTGAGAATGCAACTCATTTTATGCTGATAAAATTCAAATAGTTTTGACTAAATACTCTTTCCTTGCATCTCTTACAACAAAATGTTAAGAGTATTAATTTTAGAATGGATGGAATTGAGATGTTCTCCTCCTTTTTGGAAACTGCTTATTCGTTACTTATCAACCAAATGCATTTCTGGTTTGTAAACTAAGCTTGCCAAATTCATAGAACGGAAAGAGAAAATGATATGGGTTTAGAACACACTGTCCCATTTTTGAAATGCTAAAAATTTGTGATTTTCCAGGAAGTTGTTTTTTAGCTTTACTTTGACCGTTTGTTTAAAAACTCCCTAACCTCAAGGAACTCTATTTTTTTCCTCCCCACAATGGTTTGTATTGTAAGGAACCATACCCTTTTGCAAGGAATTGTGAGAAAACTTAGGTCAGGGGTTGGCTGACTTCAGTCTTGCTTGGTCTGCTTTATTTTTAACTAGAACCTCTATTGAAATGTGTTTAAATTAAACATTTAGAAATGCATACTAGGGTTCAGTGTTTCTTTCAGTGGAGCTGGAATGGAGAGAGAGGAGCTGTTCAAGTCTTCATTTTGCCTGTTAGTTGAGAAATCACTCTTCGTATACTCCTTTCTTTGTTAGCTCACACACTCACACTTTGTTGCTCTCTTTATATGTTTGCATGTTGTGTGCATGTAAGAGGGAGAAACAGAGCAAACTCTTAACAGTTTTCAGAGGGTGATTTTTGACCTCCAACACTGCCACAGGGGAAAGAGTTATATAGTTTTTTTCTTTCTGTCTGCTCTTCACTCAAAATATCGGAATAGCTTTAAAAAAAAAGTAGAGAGGGAAATAACACAGAACTCCTTGTAATGTGCAGTTCAAGCCTAAGGATCTCTTAAAAGTATAGTAATAACATAGTTGTTAGGTGATCTTTTTGTGTGCCCAGTATGATGAATTGTGGACTACCTTCTATCCGCTTTTGCTTTTAAGCTGTGGTCTCAACCCAGCAGGGAACTGGTGAGTTTCGAATACTCCAAATAAATTCTTTGGTGGTTATGTGTTATTGCAGGGGAAGATTGGTAATGCTAGCCAAGCTTTCTTTTTGGGAAGCATCTACTATTGCTCTTTTCACAAGGATCCTATAAAGTTCCCAAAGACTCCTAACCCCATTGAAAAGTTTGAAAAATCAACATGATGCTTATATAGTGAGAAATGGTATGTTTATTGTTAAAGAGGGCAAAAGAGTTGCAATGTATTTGGAAACCTTTATTTCAGTGGCTCTAGATGTGAAAAGGTCTGTGCTCTCTTAATGCAACTTTGCAGTTTAAAAAAAAAAACAACATGGCAAGTTTAGTATCGTCTGTGTATGAATTTTCCAATTGTATTTCAGACTTTAAGAAAGAAAGGCCTTAATGGTTGTGAGAGTCCTGATGCTGACGATTACTTTGATCACAGTCCACTATCGGAGGACAGATTCAGCAAACTAAATGAAGATAGTGATTTTATTTTCAAGCGGGGCCCTGTAAGTACTTTTTTTACCTCCTACTTTTTATTTGTTGATTCTTTTTATTAACTTCATTATTTAGGCTCTGAACAAGAAGGAAAACAGAGGGTGCGACAGCCCAGACCCTGACACTTCATATGTGCTCACGCCACATACAGAAGAAAAATATAAAAAAATTAATGAAGAATTTGATAATATGATGCGGAATCATAAAATCGCAGTGAGTACTGTGGTATGGCTTGTGCTTTTCTTACATGCATGAGAACATTTTATAATATCTCAACACTGAAAGCTACATTAACGATAATATGGCTGTTCATGCTTTTACAGCAGAAATATCCACATAAGGTGCCTATATCTGGGGTAGAATTCTAAGATGGTGTTAAGAAACCTACAATGTTAACTGTGTGGATAAGACATTTTGTGGGCTTCTATATTCGTATGATAGAAGGCAACAGGAAAACTGTCTAGTGAAGTAAATTTCCTTAGAAGTTCTACTTGTATTAAATAAGTTTTTAGTCCTCATGAGTGCCCTCAAAAACATAAATGTGTGCAGTGTCTCCTGACATAGCTGAAATTAACGAAATCTAATTTAAACCTTTCAGGGATGGGGAAATTCATTCTGTATAGGTTCCAGTCTCTCCTTATCTTTTCTCAATAAATCATTTCTTGTCTCCTCTGTGTGCTCTGTGTGATCCTAGTTGTATATTTCTAGTTCTGTGAAAAAACAAAAACTTTCCAGTAAATAGTACTTCACAAATGCAAATGTATTTGCAAAATCTGAGATCCTTTGTTGTACAACCCAGCTATCTTTGAAGTAAAGTGCACATAAACTGTAACTCTGGGAAAGTGAGAGTGATGAATTGTTACAGTTCCCCACTGGGAAACTGTTTGAAAGGATTGGAATCTCTTAACAGGATTCTCAGCAGGATTACGCAGTTAAATTCCTTGGGAGAAGCCATGACAAATTTGTTCAACATTTGTTTAGGTTTGTAGTGTTGACTGTACCTTAATTTGCTTCCACTTCTTTCTCAGGCTGCTATCCCATACACACACACACACACACAAATCTGTTCTGGGTACCTGTACCTGACATAGTTGGTTCAGTCAGAGATTTCTTATTCTAGGCAGTCTGGTGTGCGGAACCAAACCAGCTGTAACAGTTGAAAATTGTAATTGTTTGCATGGAAATAAATTCCATTACCTCTTTGTTCCAAAGAAATGTGTTTAGGTTTGATGTCGAATATAGCTTTAAGGAAACTTGTCATTCTCATCCCAACCTACCTCCCAGGGTCTTTGCTGTGAGGTTAAAATGGAGCAATTGTAAATGGAGCAATGTAAGAAGGCAGCATACAAATACAATGTAGTAATAATGATGGTGGTGATTTTATATAGTATCATCCAAGTCAGCAGCACTTGTTTATTTATGACACTCATATGCTGCCCCGTAGCCCAAGGCCTCTGTGTGGTTCACTTGACAGACTATGAGGACATAACACTCTAGAAAGGACACAGGAGAAGGAAATGGAAGTGGGGTAAATCAAGGATCAATATGGAGTTATTTCAATACATGTACTCAATGTTAGATACTGTGGAATATGGGAACTAGCAGCCATAAGTTTCATAGAAAATATGCATTCTGAGGAGTGCCTTGAAGTAAGGGAAATAGAATAAGTTGAAATGCTAATGCATACATTGGTACCTTGCCTCATGGACTTAATCTGTTCCAGGACTCTGGTTGTGACCCAAATTGCTCGTGAGCCAAGTCAAATTTCCCCAGAAGGTTCAGTGTAAATAAGGTTAATCTGTTCTGTAACTATTTTTTTTTAATCACAAAAATTTGAAGCAAGTGACAAAGAACAGCAAAGATCATGGCCATCTCCCCCCGCCCCCCCAAGCACGAGCGCGCCCATCTCCCCCTCACCAGCATGACAGGGATCGCACCCGTCATCCCTGCACGGGTGCAACCGCGATCATGGCCATAGACAGGCACGATTGTGGGTGCGCTTGGAGGAGGCGGGGGAGAGGCGCGATCGTGATCGCCACCCAATGTGGAGTTCGCAACCTGAGGCAAAATTTTTCAGAAATTTCCTTTCGCAACCCGATTTGGTTGTGAACTGAGGCGTTCTTGAGCCGAGGTACCACTGTATGTGTTTAATGCAGTGTTTTTTACCCATTGTGTTCCTTCAGATGCAGTCTTCAGAAAAAATTACGCATTAATTATTATTATTATTATTTTTTGGATACTTGAAATATAGTGAAGGGAATAGTTTTGCTAGTGAAGATCAGTATAATAACAAGACTCACAATTTTTGCTAGTTTCCCTGGAACCTTCTAACATAGAACTACATAATGTGTGTAATCAAATTTGCTTTAGAATGCTTAAAAATAAAAATAGTAATATATTGTATTTCTTGGAGTAATGTATTTCTTTTTATCTGCATGCTCAAATTTTATAAAAGTAAAAATTTAAAATGATTTTGTGAATGTAATACTTGGAAACCAGTACAGTTTTCAACATTTTGTAAAACTTATCTCTGTGTGATTAATTTGCAGTAATTAACTGTAGTTTTTAATGATTTCTAACCTGTTTTGAGAATGATGTTTGTAGTTAATATGTAACAAGTTACAGTACCTTGCATTGAACAGTATGCTGTATATTTTGAGGCTTTTTTCCAAAGCAAAAATCTGGCATTCTGACTTTGATTAAAATTGAGAAAGGGATAACTGTCTAAACCTAGCTCACATGATTTCCTCCCAACTCTTTTCAGCCTGGGTTGCCTCCGCAGAACTTCTCCATGTCAGTCACTGTTCCTGTGTCCAGCCCCAATTCTTTAACCTACAGTAATCCTGGGAGTTCACTTGTATCCCCAGCATTGGCAGCAAACTCTACCTTGACCGACACCACCATGTTGACCCCTCCTCAAGCCTCACTGCATCGAAATGTATCACCTGGAGGTCCCCAAAGACCACCAAGTACAGGCAGTGCAAGTAAGAACTTACTTCTGTGAACTAGTTTGAACACACTTCTGTGCTACTTGTACTACATTTAGATTGAGTGAAATGCTTACTTTTCTTTTCCCTGCTTAGGTGGTATGTTGACCACAACTGATCTCTCAGTGCCAAATGGAGCTGGCTCTAGTCCAGTGGGTAAGTTGTACATTTTTTTGTGATTTGAATGCTGCAAGAGGCTTAACTGGGCCAAATGGAGTGACTTAAGAGTGTGATGAAGCAAATTTACACAGGCAACTACAAACTATTTCCTTGGAGGCTTATTGTTCTAAATTGAGAGGACAAGATATTTAATAATTATTTCTTCTAGTGTTTGCTTATGTTTGCAACGATCAGGAGTTTGTTCTTTGCATATCCTTTTTTGATGTGTCTGAACAGATATGTGCATAAATGCTTAGAAAATAGGGTTACCATCAATTTTAATATCCATATTTGTAATAAAACTTGAATCTTAGTCATCAAGGGAGTGGAACAGAGAGGTAACACCTTTTTCTGTAGAAGGCAGGGCCACACAGAGATGCTTCCAGAGGAATGGGAGGAACCCTTTCTCAGACTCGGTTCTGCCCCCTACAAAAAAGCTAAATAATAACTTGCACCTAAACTGTATGGAAGCTGAATCTTTCTTTCTGTCAATCATCATTTATTGGTCCTTAGATACAGATTTTTAGCTGTATTCCAGGGGCTGGAGGTGTGCTTTACTTTTTTTACATTATATCAAAAAGAGCCATCGCACACATATGAAACAAAAATCGCAGCCTGTAGACTTGCATGCTAGCATGACTTTGGAAAGGGAGCTTCAGATTTTTTCCCTGCACTTGTTGACAAGTTAGGGAGATGTGCTGCTCGCCTCAGTCAGTGTGGTGGCATCTCTGTTTTCAGTTCTCAAATTACCGGAAGATGGCATGAACACCTGCTGCCAATATGACTTGCTTACTTCCAATATCATTTGGTGGTGAAGGATCAGCTAGCCTGGAATGGAGAGCACAGTGGGTTTTTCTTTTTCCTAGGAAAGAGGTTGATTGTGCAGTACAGGAAAGCTGGGCTTTGATTATAAGTAAAAATTCAAAGATCTGGAAGTCCTTTGGATACAGAGATAGGCACAAAGTGGCTGTAGGAACCTGAGCTTTTTCTACCTGAATGTTTTCTCTGGTATTCTACAGAACTGTACACTTGACTGAATGTGTAGGCCTGAACACATAATAGAAGTTAAACTGTAGCTTAATGACATATTACTATTTATGAATTAGAGTGGCAGTAGTACTAATGGTTAGTGCTTATACAGGACTCTAGCATGATTGCCTAAGTTCTTGACAGACCTAAAAGAACCCTGCAATGTATTTATTTATTTGATTTCTAACCCGCCCCATTAGCTGTATGGCTTCCTGGGTGGGCTACAACAACAAAATACAAAGTAAAGTACAGAACAGAATAGAATAGAATAAAATGCAATATAAAACAGCAATTACAAAAAACCCCCATTAAAACCAGTGTAAGAGGCAGAAAACTGATGGTGTACTTACAGTTCAAATGCTACTTAAAACAAGTTAACTATTAAAATACCATCAAAATAAAAAGGTTTTTGCACCCAAATGAATGTAAAAAAAGCACCAAGCAAACCTCTCTGGGGAGTGTGTTCCCCAGTTGGGGTGCCACTGCAGAAAAGGCCCTTCTTCATGTCACCACCCTCCTTGTTTCCTGAGGAGGGGTTTCCTTCAAAAGGGCCTCAGATGGAGATCTAAGGTGCCAGGTAGGCTCATATGGGAAGAGGTGTTCCTTTAGATAGCCTGGTCCCAAGCTGTTTAGGGCTTTAAACATCAGTGTTAACAACTTGAATTGGGCCCGAACCTCAGCTGGGAGCCAGTGAAGATGGTAGAGAACTGGCTTTATATGGTTGTATCTGTCAGTACTCATTAACAGTCTGGCTACCCTATTCTGGACCAATTGAAGTTTCTGGACTGTCTTCAAGGGAGCCCCATGTAGTGTGTGTTGCAATAAGCCAGACGAGTGGTTACCAGTGCATGGATAACTGTTGCCAGGTCCTGTCTGTCTGGCGGCAGTTGTTGGTCAGTATCCCCATGTTTAGGTGAGATTTCAGCCAAGGAGTTTGCAGTTTCTCTGTTAGGCTATTATGTTGTCTCAGTAGTTTATTAATTTTTATAGAAGGTTACTTAAGTATAGTTTAGCAAGCCAGGAGCTAGTCTTGTGTACGCCTTTTCCGCTTCTGCTGTTGACATGAAAGTCTTACCTAGCTTAAACCACAGTTCACATTATGCTTAAACTGTAGATTTTGATTTTGATTAAGATTTTGGTTTGGTAAATGAAAATTAAACAATTCCTCATTTTAGAAGTAATGAAACTAACCAATATCTTCTGAGGGAGGAGACAAGAAGAGTGGACTAGAGTGGACCCAAGTACTTGTTCCCAGTTTGCTAAATTGGTAAATTGGTAGTAGTTGTGGTGACCTTTTAAGCCTAAGCAAAAGTGCAGCTCTGTCACTTCCTGGATTTTCACCTCCCCCCCTCGACTAACCTTACATATGCCACTGTGACTCTGCTAGAAGAATCTCAGCAATAATTTCAAAGGCATTCACATTATGCTATGTTGCAGTTTTGTCAGTGCACAATAATTTGCCAGGATGCTGTGACTTGCGAGTTATTTAACTGACACACTGTGGCAGGTGGGAACTTAACTTTTGTCATCCTGAAATTCTATACTGCAGCCCAGCAAATGCATTCTGATGGAGGACCTTCTTATATTGGAATACAGACTAAAAGCAATATCAAGAGTTTCTAACAGTTTGTTCCTTTATGAAACAAGCAATCTTTCAACCAATTCATAGTTATTTCAACCTCCAGCTAAAAAGATAAAAGCTAGGGAGGCTTTGAAGGGGACACCACCTTGAATTACACCTGGTCTGTCTTTTAGTATTATGTTTTAATACATTTGATTTATGGTTTTATTTGTTAATTCAATGTTTTACCTTGTTAATTTGTAATGGCCTGTGGCTAAATGCAATAAACTGACTGACTGACTAATTATTTTAACCAACTTGCAATCCCGTATCTTTGTCTTTTCTCCCATTTGTCATATTTGGTGCATGGATAAAAAGAATCCAGGTATGATACTTGGGTGGTAAACTTTGGTGTCCCACCAAAACAGGGAGACTCTTAAAAATTATAGACTTGTGGGGTTTATCTGTTGAAAACAGGTAACTGCAGTAACCACTAAAGGGTACTTCAGTTGATTAAAGATGTACATGCAATGTGCACCTATAAACAGTGTCCCTTTTTAGAAAGACTAGAATGTTTGTTCAGTTGAAAATAGTCATTTTCTAGTGAACATATACCAATATCTGTAATTAAAACTGAAAACCCCCCACTTACTTATTGAACCATCTCTATCTTTTCCCTTACTAAGAGGGCATAATATGGTTTTCTTTTCGCTTAAGTTTACAATGTAAGCAAAGAGACAGTTTAAAGACTAGAATGAAGCCAAAAGTGTATAACGTAAAGTTTCAAAGCATTGATTTACCATTAGTTTTAAAGCAGGAATGGGGATCCCCCTTTTTTTCAGTGGGAACCCTTTTTTATTTCCTTGGGGATCAACAGTTGTGGAGTCACATGCCAGCAGCAGGGTGGGGCTACCCCTTTTTTCTTTTTTAACTTTGATGCACAAATCAATAGGTAGAACATTCATTAGTTAAATCATGCAGTCATTGACATATAACCGGGCCTGAGAAAAACCCTCTTTTCTAGAAATCAGCTTATGCTCATCCTTGAAATGTAGCTGACACTGACCAGGCACCAGTCCAGAGAAAACTGGTTGGCACTTGACAGATAACAGCAGCTCAAACAAAGGGCAGTGCACACCAGCCCACCCCATCTTCCCCCCTCTTTTGGAGCATCTTTCTTGGTTTGCAAGTGGAAATGATCACACCATTGCTACTGTTTACTTTTGTAACCTATTGGAAATTGTTAACTGTGTTACGTGTAACGCTTTAATTATCTGTGGATAAAAGGGCCAACTGAGGATTGCTCAGGTGCAGTATCTGGATCAATTCGTTGGTAGCCAGTTATTCTCAAGAATAAATCCTTTAAAAGAAAACCTTCCCCTGTGGTGCATTTTGTATTGCCAGTTAGATGTTGCAGGCAAATCGTACCCGGCACACAAGTCAACACAAGTATTCTGAGCAGGTTGCCTCCTTCTTTCTCTCTCTCTTCAGACCAAAATGAAACCTTAGAAGTGTAGTTCTTCATTGAAAGTTGTCTGTTACCAAACAGTATAAATCAAAGAGGTCTTCTACCAGAGTGGTGGGAGAAGTATCTGACCATGTAAAGAGTTGAATTCAAACTGAAAACTTCCCCACTATCCTTCCCTTTGAGTAAAGCTCCTTACTCCACCCTCAGGGTGGTCTTGCTTCTTGAGGGCTAGGTGACAGGAATGCCAGTGATCCTCTTAATTGGGCAGCACTCTTCTTCCAAAGCAGTCAGATTCTCACACATGGCCTGAGAAACGTAGAAACTAGGTGACCTTAAGTCAGTCAATTCTTCCATTCCCCTTGCTTCTCTATCTCCTCAGAATTCAATAAATCCATTGGAGCAGTCTGTTATGAGCAAGAGACCACCCCCACTTCTACAGCAGAAACTCTTAATCTTCTAGTATTCAGCCAAAGTTAAAATCATCTATCCACATCTTCTGCAAAAACATTTTTATGCATTTTTCAGCCTGGATTTTCCCATAAGGTTAATTTAGCATGCAAGAATGAGTCGAACTGTAACTTAGATGCCTCTGTCCTTCACACTTCTCAAGCAGGAGGAAGCCTGCCTGTTTCAGTATGCCACAAGCCTAAAGTTGTCCACTTGGTCAGAGAATCCAGGCAAGGAAGATTCCAAAATTGATGATGGTGGAAAATTAATCTGAACAGAAAAGAATAAAATTTAGTACAGGTCTGCAAATTACTCAGTGTTAGAATACAAGACCTGGAAATTCAAATCACTTTCCTTACTAGAAAGCTGCATCCTTTTCAACGTTATTCATGTCAAATAGGAACCCCAGAAAGCATTATAGAACAGAGAGTTTGCTTGATGTGTGTGTGCAGCTTCTGTATAGCCTGAAGTGCCTGAACCTGTCTAATCTTG